TTTTTAAATATAAGGTCAAAAAAAAACTATCTACAAAGGTTTTTTGCAATTTAGGCCACTTGATCCAAGTGTTTTTTAAATTATGTCCCTATTAAAATAATGAATAATAATTATGTCCCTTCAAAAGGGACATAATTGATCTGTGAAATTTTATATGCTAAATAGTTTAGGAATCTATCCTTAATTGTGGATACAGAAAATTCGCAATATGCTAGCATTTAGGATATGAAGGTGTGAAGAGTAAACAAAAGGCTGGAGGTGTTCTATTCCAATATTAACACAAAGAATAAATACTAAATTTCAAAAAGCATGGTTGTGATATTCGACTACTAGTAACAAAAGCTATCTGTATAGTATTGAGACATCAGAAAGCATTCACACCTTTAAAAGATATTCTTACTGAGTGTGGTGATATCACTGGACAGCATCCTACTGGCATTGGGTGTATTGATTGAAGGATGTGAATACAGTTTCTAATACCTTGGACCTGGAACCATACATTTGACTTATGCAAGACAGTTGTACACCCTAGGTTAAATAAGACGAATATAAAGCACTTGAACATATTCAAAATTAGTCAATATGAGGTATACTGATAAGTTTTTTGAAACTTATTGCTGTTGATGGAGGAGTTGGGAAACTCAGAGTAATTTGGGTAATTGAGATGAAATTAGAACCATAAGTTGTCAAGAGTGGAAAGAGTAACTTGGGATGTTATTATTAGAATTGGAATTGGAGTTGCAGAAGATAAGACATTTAAGTACCTGAGATGTTAAAGTCAGAAAATCTAACGAACAGGATGGCCTGGGAGGTTGTTATCAAGATGGAGGTAGTGTGTACGGAACATAATGTCGACTATGAATTAGTCAAAACAATAAGAATATAGCATTAGAATATTATCAGCAATTAGCCGAGACCGATAATTTACATGAAGCATTTAGTGTGGAGTGTAGAGAATATAAGAAAGCAATGCAAGTATGGTCGGCTGGATACTCCCTAAAATGGACTAGTAGTTAGATTATGGTGTGTTTTTGCAATATGACTGCATACTCCCCGCAACATTCTAATGATTGTGGACACAGTTGTGTATTCCTTGCATGTGTTAGAAATTTTTGGGCATAGGATATGGAGTATACTTGAAAAGTGATATGTCACATTTTCTTGACTAATATATTATTTTGGTTTTCTTTGTCAAAAAGTTTATCTTCAACTTACTGATTTCTCGTTTCTCACTCATAATGTCAGAGTCTGGGTTAAACAATGAGTGCAGCTGGGTATTTACAACAGTTTGGACACAGCTGTGAACTTTCCGCATCATAGCTAAAAGGTTGGGCATAGGCGGAAGGCTATAATATGCATATGGGAACATTCTAAAAAGGTAAGGTTCTGTGTTTGGATTTTGAAATTATAGTGTTTTCTGAGTTTATTTTCAACCCGCTGATTTTTGTTTCACTTACATAGCTAATGCTAGCAGAATAATGGATCAGTGGTATTTTCTTTGAGTGAACATGGCTATGCATTCCCCACAACATGTTGTATGTGCACGGCTGTATACCCCCACAATGTGCCAGAGATTTGGAAGATGATTACATACTCCAGCAATGAGATAGTGATTTGAGCACAGGTGTGTACCCCCACAACGTGTTGGCGTTTCGATCACACCTGTGTCCCCTCACAACATGTTATATCCTGGGTTTAGTACCCTTAAAGTGCTATTGTATAAAATATGAATGGAATATTTTTTGGAAGCACCTATACTATGATGCTTTTTACTACTGTCTCTTCTATTTGGCACAGGTGGCACATATATACACAATTCCCGTAGCTCTTTTCATCAACTTTAATTAGAAATGATAGGTCGGCGACAGAGAATTCAGGATGATGATGGATTCAGGATGGTGGTGGATCCAGAATGATGGTGAAGGGCTTGGAATTCGAGCAAGAATAAAAAAAATTACTTACAATTAAGAAATTTTTTTATTTGTTATTAAATGATTAATGATTAAACGTTATATTAAATTTATTTATTAAATATTATATTAAATTTTATTAAACACTATATTAAACGCTATTAAATGCTATATTAAATGTTATTAAAATGCTATATTAAATGCCATTAAATATTATTAAATGCTATATTAAATACTAAACTAATTAAACGATTAAACACTATATTATTATATAATTAAATTTCAATCCCAATCTATCTAAATTTTATCATTTTCACAACAGAAAAAATTAATAATTGAAGTTTGCTTTCGAGACTTTCGTTCAAGTTGCTGAGTTAAAGACAAATATTTTTTAAAAACATCTATGTCCTCTGTTTTGAATTCATCTAATTGCTGTTGTTCGAAAAAGGTAATCCAATTTGTTAAGGATTTTACTACATCCCCAAAAAAAATAAGCATTGGTTTCTCTTCGATTCATCATTTTTATCAACTTCTTTCATTTTCTTCTGAATTAATTTTATAATATCATTTTCGCTTAAAATAGTTTCGGTTGAAATCTTTTCTCTAAATCATTAAAGAAATCATTCAATGTATCTACCAGCAGAGCAATATAAGAATCAGTTTTATTTAAATCTTCAACTATTTTATTAATATCTGCTATTTCGTGTTCTCTTGCTTCTTGTTAAATTTGTATTGCATTATTTATTTCTTCATTAGTTAAAGAGGGTAATATTCCAGTTTTTCTCCAACAATTCCAAATCATATTTTCGGTTATGTGACTCTATGCTTCAGATACATAATTAATCGCATCCTTAATATTGATTTTCTTTTTATTGATATCTTTGCCTTTTTCAAAGAGTTTCAATATATAATGAACATATTTTCTCTTATAATAATTCTTAAAACTTGCAATAATCCTGACATCAAAAGGTTGGAGATAACTTGTTATATTAGAAGGTAAAAAAACTACTTCAATATGAGTTAATTGAAGTTGGGAGGCATTAAATTGATTTCTATTTGATCTATTATGATAAACTTTCGTTCCATGATTTCTTGATCTACTATTATGACTATTATAACCATTATGACCACTATGACTATTGTAACTTTGTAAAACTTGATTTCCTATAATTAAATTTAAAGAAATATTAGATATTTTTTTAAAATTATATTTTATATAAAAAATTTATCTGATGTATCTTT